TATTCACAAGAGTATGCAACCACCACCACTATCTAATTCTGTACTAGAAATTTGATAAAATGTTGATCTTTTTTCTTTTTTTTCCCAGAGAAGTGCCCCACACATCTATTTCTGTAGTTTTTCTTAGCACAGCCCTGGTAGGGTGGAGAAGTAACAAACTGAAAGGTCCAGACTGAAGTTTCTGTACATCTATTTAGGAGCTTTTGCTATTCACTCATATTCAGTACTCCAGATTCTGTGTTTATCCAAAAAGTTCTTCAGATAAACACAACATTTAGATAGCCTCAGCTGTATGTGATGTGTTATGTCAGATGCAATCTTCCCTAAACATCAGCCTTAGTGGAAAGGGATAGTGCATATTTTGAGGAATACATACAGGTATCTTTAGTGTGTTCATAGAAATCATAAGGTAGCTTGACCAGAGAACTTGTTTGTCTGATTATAGTTCCCTTGATTCATAATCAGAAATCTGGATTCAATAAGCAAGCCCTCCTTTCTTCTCAGTGAGTTGAATATATAGGCAAAAGATTAATGCACACAGTAGAGGGAGAAATAAAGGGACCGCATTTCTAGAAAATAAAATGATTTCTTACAAATCACTTAATCACTCCTATAAGGAAATATGGGGAATCAGAAGTTCCATTAACCTTAATACCGTGAGAAGAGTAAAACATAGGTAATGTGTTCCATTAGGTAGTAACAGAGGAGCAGAAAACCAGGAGAAGGGAGATGGAACCAACAGAGGAAGAAGAAAAAAGTATCACGGTAGAGCAAATGATGGCACCAGTGGCCCAAAAGGAACAACCGTTGCAAAGACTCCAGCTGCAGGGGGCAAGGTGAGGCTGGGGCTGTGTGCCTGATGGAGCCAGTAGGGGCTGGGGACAGGCGAGAGCCCTGTTCCGCACCGAGTGGACTGGGCGAAAACCCCACGATCCTAGGCGCAGCTGCAGCAGCCCGACTGTAACTCTGGACTTGCGCATCCCTGCACTCTCGGGGGTCCGGGAAGCTCCCCTGCCCCTGCAGGCTCAGAAGCGCCTGCTCCTGCTCCCTGGCCTCTCCCTGCTCCTGGTGCCCACTCCAGAATGGAGCAAAGTTGTGGCTGAACCTGGATGCTGTCAGAACCCCCCCACCCCCCAACCTGGTGTGTGTGTGCTCGGACAGTGTTGTCACAACAGCCTTCTTCCACCTTGGCCTCCTCTGGACTTTGGGTATTAATGAGCACAGGAGGGAGGCCGAGGTGGAGCTTAAGACAGCTCAGTGCAGGCCTGCAGGCACCCCTCAGCACAAACATCCTGGGTACTGTGGAAGGCATGTTGATGGCGGCAGGAGGCAGACATGCTCCTGGATGGGAATGGGCAGGTCGCTGGTGAAACTCACCTTTCAAGACGGGTACAGCCTGAAGCCTGGGGGCCAGGCTGCTGGTTCTGGGGGGAGTCCACGGCCCAGAGTGAGAACTGATGGTGCTTTTTCCAGGCTTGACTGTGGCTGCCCATGGACCAATCAGTATACCTTCCTCACTTCTGAGCCCATGAAAACCCTGGACTCAGCCAGTCTCAGATAGATGTCAACACTACCAGCTGCAGAAAGGAGTTACCCACTCTAGGTCTCTTCTCTGCTGGGTTCTGCACAGACATCAAGATGAGCTGCCCTTGGAGGGTGCTACCCACTTTAGGTCTTCTGTCACTCAATGAACCTCCTCTCCACCTTGCTCACCCTCCAATGGTCCATGTATCTCATTCTTCCTGGACGCAGGACAACAACTTGGGACCTGCTGAATGGCAGGACTGATAGAGTTGTAACAGAAACAGGGCTGAAACCCTCAGCCACCACTTTCAGCTTGCCATGTTGCAGGTAATGAGAAGGAGAGAACAGCTGTGGCCCTTCTGGGAGCTTATTCCTATGGGTTCATGGAGCCGGGGCTGTGACATCCTCTTTGGGGCTCTGCGGTTCCTGGTATCTCCAAGCTTCTGGGTGCCACCACATCCCCTTCAGCTAGATGCATGTGCCTGTAGTGGAAGCTGTGTGCAGTACATTTGGTCCAGCCGCAGGCTCTTAAGAGCCAACACCTGTGCTGGTGCCTGGAGCTGCCTGCTGTGCCGCAGCAGCCAGCATGCCTGGCTGTGTGCAGTGGCCAGACACAGTGCTCATTTGCCCACACACCCCTTCTTACTTCGTGCCTGGCTCACCCTTGACAGGTGTGGGATCCAGGCCTGTAGTGTGAGCCAATGCAGCCTGCCAGACCAAGTGGGCGAAACGAGCCCAGTGGGCGCCAGCAGTACTCAGGCGGAAGGCACTACTAGCCCAGAGGTTTTTGGCTAGAGAAGTGACACCCCAAGGATCCCATGACACGAAGAGGAATGTGCAGAAACTGGAATGAACAGAGAGCATCAGCGGCTACCAACTGTGTACTATTCCATTCTGTGAGGTTATAACTCAGGCCATATATTTTTAGGTAATGTTTTTCCTTTAATCAAGAAAGAAAGAATTCTTGTTAGTGGCTAATGACAATGCTAGGTAGATGAATAATGTTGTAATTATTTAAAAACAGTGGTATTGTTTCGCCATTCAAAGAAATGTTAAAGGAGCTAGGTTTGAAATGTCAGTGACACTCCGTTTTGCAGTAGTATAAAACTGCAAGCCAAATTTGTGGGCTTTTAAAAATAAAGTTTGTTAAAGTAAATCCCCAGTGCTTGAAGGCAGACCCCAAAGCATAGCCACAGAACATTTCACATCAGGTTCAATTTCAGATGAGCAGAACCAAAAGGCAATGCCACATGCCCAAGGAAATGGAAGAAAGAACACATGCCCTCCAGAGCTGTGGGGGCCTTTCCAGTGACACTGTGCTGAAGAAACAGTGCTCTGACAAAGGTCAACTGTCATCCCAAATAGAAAAAACTAAGAAATTCTAAAGAGACATTTTGTTCTCTCATAAAAATCATTTATTGGCACACCAGAAATGACCATTTTTTCTAGTATAGTAGTTGTACGCATCTATAATTGCAATTCAGTGTAAACTACATGTTACAGGTCACTGGAAATCTAATTAGTAGGATGAATTTAATAAAGAACAAGAGGAACTATGAGTCTACTGCGGCCCAGCCATCGAGTCTCACTGGAGAGTAAATCAAATATCAAACTAGTGTTGCCCTGCAACAGTTCTTCTGTAGCCAAGAAAAACCAAGACGCACATAAACAGGATAGCACCCATTCCATAAGTTAGATACATGAGACTAGAAAAAGATAGTAATCGATGGAAAGAATCTGAATAAAGTAAGCACAGAAGTAAATAATCAGCTATGTACATATATTACTTTTTGCCAAAACTTTGTTAGCTTTCCCATCCTAGCTCTTCCCTTCTATTTGTTATTCTTGTTTTTTCATGGTGAATTGCTTGGCTCACTGAAAAATATTTAGACAACTAACCAGAACTTCTTTCTGGGTCCTACTTTTCCTAAAACTTCGTGCCAAACTAACGAATTTCGAGGGTAGCTTATGTAATTCTATCTCTATATAGAAGTAAGATGCATTATTATTCTGCTATCAGTCATAGTAATGACCAGATAATCCCATGTTTTTCCAAACATTATTTGGATTACTCCAGAAAATTAGGCTGTGAATGGCAGCAGAGTGGATCGATTTTTCATTCATAACAGGCACAGATAGTCTATTATGGAGACAAGCATGGTTATCCTGAGAATGCGAATGCTGTGGACTGCAACTCGAGATCCCCATTACTGAGAATGGGTTCTTTCCCTCTGGTCACTCTTGTTTTGTTTTTTACTATCAATTTTTAAGGCATGGTATCATAGCAGCATTAGCAAATAAGAATGCTGACATCATTTCTACCAAGAAGGGCTCTGCGATGAGTGGCAGCAGGTACCATAATTAAATAGCGCAGCTAAAAAGGCATTGAGTTGGTACATTTCTGGTGCTATGGCCAGAATGTGTGGATTTTAGCATCATTCTAGGAAGCCTGAAAGATCTTGCCCATGAGCCTCTTTGACCTTTGCCTATTTCCTTTCTAGTACATATGACAATTTTAGTTATTTTATTTTTGCTTTTTCTCCTGCTGGAATATAAGCTCTGAAGGGCAGAGACTATGCCTGTCTGTTCACCACTGTGTCCCCACAGTGTCTAGAACAGTGCCTGGTCGACAGTAGCTTCTCAATTAAAAGCTTGTATTAAATAAATGAACCAAATCATTAAGTCCCCTGGTTTGCCTATGTCTTAGAGACTTACCAATTTTATACAATGGCCAGAGTTGCTGGCCTATCCTAATTATACGGCCATCCTAATGCTCCTACCCTGATGTGAACCTGTGTAGCGGATATTTTTGTGCTTCAATGAGTAGTAAACCTTCTCAGTGATAGGTTCACCCTCCCAAAGCTTAGCTCTGCAGAACTAATGCTACAGGAGAGGTAACAGGGCAAGAACATTCTAGGAGGTAAGCTGTATGCTAAAAATTTAGCTCATTCTTCCCTACCTCCCCCTATAACCTCATTGTTTGACAGAAAGCTTAAGAAAGAAAGTTAGCAGGAGAATTTTCTTTTGGCAGTGCCAGTCCAGTAAGTCACCAATAACCTGATCAGAAAAGAAAGAAAATATAATTCACCTACATAAAAAAATTAAGTTAAATAAAAGCAAAATCTGGGTGTGGGAACCAAGTGACATGGTGGGCTGTCTAGGTCCTTTGTTGGTTAGAACTGTTGGACATGGAAGCGGAAACAGGCATGACCGCAGAGGAGAGGTTGGAAGGGAAAAGGGCAGAGCTGTAGGTGTGAAGACTGCAGAGGACCAGCTTTTCTCTCCTCCTTCTCCCACTTCTGCCAACTCTGCACCGCACCACGGCTGGCTGAGCTCCTTGCTGTGGCTCTCGCAGGCGGAGGTAAGAACGGGCAGCTGGCACCTCCACGGCACATTCTTAGGCTATGGATGCTCTGCTGGAGTAGAAGTCAGGGACTGCGAGGCCGGTGTGCAGCGTGACCTGGGGAATGAGACTGTGAGTCCTGAGAGGCACTGTGCATACCCTATCCCTTTACACAGTGTACCTGGGTGTATCCCTAGCTCAAAAAGTGTTCTGTTTGCTTCTCTTTAAACATCTAGGCTAGTAAGCATTAAGGGGTATTTAAGAAGAATCCTGCCTATGGTGAGAGCCTGCTCACCACAGTGGGCTCTCAAATCCTGGTGACATTTGATTATACGGTTCTCAGTCACCTGCCTCTTTTAAAGGATTCTGGGAAGACTGTGTTCCTTACAACTGAAGACACAGGCCTTGGTTTTCAGGTAGTGGCACCTGCTGGCCACACCAGTGACCACTGCCAAATCCACAGGTAGAGGACAAATTTGCAGAGACAGACCATCCCTTATTACCTGTCCACTAGTTATTCCAATTAGGGCAAACATTTCTTTCTGGGATTGCAAAGATGATTGATGTGTGTGAAAAAAACATGGAATTATACTATTTCACCAATTATTTTGAATTCCTAAATACTATTTCATCAATTTCTGTGTATCCCCAAACCTCAACGGGTAGCTATGGATAAGCCCAGAACAGTTTCATCCAGTTCTTGTCCCTGTCTTCTCCACCCTAGGAGTCTTTATCGATAGATAATCAGAAGGTGTTGGAAACCCCTGAAGAGCATCTAATAAAATAACCTTTGAAAGGGAAATGGCTAAAAATGTGAAACACCTTGAATGAGGTTTTTCTGAGACTTGCTTCTAGGGTAATTATCATTTTCTTTCTTCCAGTGTAGAGGCTGAACTCTGAAAGATTAGATTCCAGCCTTCCAGGAAACCCTACATCCTTGCCAGGAAAGAGAAGGTCAGGGGCCACTAGTTTGCAATCAATGTTACTGCACATACTGAAAGACAATAATTAATTTTTATAAATAGTTTCAAAGACTGGTTCTGGATAGGGCAAAAATAATCTGTAGTATTGTGACTCTCAAGCCCTAACTTAAGATAACCATAGGCCGGGCACAGTGGCTCACACCTGTAATCCCAGCACTTTGGGAAGCTAAGGCAGGTGAATCATGAGGTCAGGAGTTCCAGACCAGCCTGGCCAAGATGATGAAACCCTGTCTCTACTAAAAAATACAAAAATTAGCTGAGCATGGTTGCACATGCCTGTAATCCCAGCTACTTGGGAGGCTGAGGCAGAGAATTGCTTGACTCCAGGAGGCAGAGTTGCAGTGAGCTGAGATCGCATTCCAGCCTGGGCAACAGAGTGAGACTCTGTCTCAAAAAAAAAAAACAAAAAAAACCATTTGTGGAATGAGGCTTATAGTTGCTAATGAGAGGCTCAGCTCAGGAGGGAAGTGAAACCCTAAGTCCTGACAGCGGCTGGCAGGGCACAGCTCTTCCCCCATGGCTCTGGTCTTCCTGACAGGCCCCAGCCCACCAGCCTTTCCACCCGTCCTTGCCCATGCAAGGCCCCTCATGCCTTAGAAACTGTGCACAGGCTGTTCCCTCTGTCTGGAAGGCTCCACACAACTCCCTCCCTCACTCCTTTAAGTCTCAGCTCTCCCGTAACTGCAGTAAGCCCTACCTACACTGACCATCCTATTCAAGACTGCAGCTGCCCTCCCCAACCCCAGCACCCATGGACTTCTCTCCATTGCGCCCTTTACCCTCCCATTGGTCTTTTCTCCATTGCACTCATCACCTTCTGACACACCAGCTAATTAACATTGTAATTATGGTCAGTATTTATTGTCTGTCTCCTATCACAAAGATGTAAGTTCTATGAAGGCAAGATTTTTATCTGTTTTTTTTTTTTCTTTTAACTGATGTATCCCAAACACTTACGACTGGGCCTGGCACACTAAAGGCATTCTATAGATATTTGCTGAATAAATAAATGAGAAGAAGCTGTTGTTTTATTCTATAATAAATTATAATTAACTAACTTATAGGCAGGGACTATGCTTTCTACCCTTAGGACCTAACAGAGCCAAACAAGAGTGCAGGGAAAATGATTAGATTTTCTGGTAAAGATACTAACGCTTCAGTCTTAAACCCTCACCTCTTCTCAGGAACTCCTAGAGCTTTAAGTCATTGCATTTGTTTTCATACCAGTTGGTCAAAGGCTTTCATTTCTACTTAGAGATGAAACTAGAGCTAGAGGGATGATCATCAGACAACCATGAAGAGAATTCTAGTTTCCAACATGCTGTTAATAGACTGTGTCCAAGTATAAAGAAGGTGCTTATGCTTGGCATGGAATAGTAGCAGCTGTCAACGTTGATCCCTTTCTCTCCTCCTTTCCTCCATTTCTTGGTCTGGGCCTTACGCTGTCAGCTTCCCTCTCTCCAGTTAGATTGAACGGCCTGCCAGCAATAGCTGTTCAACCTCTGGGGTAGGATGCTTACCTGCACGTTCCTGTTCAGGCTGACCGCAGGGAAGAACAGGCCCTCCACATTATCAAATGCTATAGGACCTTGCTGTTCATCGTTGATAAAAAATGTCAAGTTTTTTCTATTTAAGTCGAGGAGGACCCCAATTGTGGCCCCTTTTGTGATCCCTCCCTCAGTTCTGTAGGAAGAGAAAGAAAAAATTAGGGTTTACTTGCTTGTGGTCACTCTAGAAGCTCCCCCCAATTGTGTGGTTAAACCAGTGTCTTGTAACCTGTTTATATAAATCATCACTACCCCAAAACCCTTTCCCTAATCATCCCTTGTACATAAAATTTTTACCATAGATATACTGTATACCTGTTGTTACTATGTGTATATCTGTGTTTTATACATAAAAAGAATATGATTTTTTGCTCCCTCCCCACTGCCATCAATGTTTATTTCCTGGAGGAATATATCAGCCCTTGTGAGTTGCTCTGCTGTTGTTGAGAACGAACTCATTCTTTAGGGTCTCTACCACTGAGACACAGCAGTGGAAAGCAAAACAAAAGACTAGGAGGAATTTGCCTTTGGGCTATCAGAGCTCTGACTCTAGGAATGTTGCACACTTTGTATAAATGGTGTGAATTAAATATCATTAAATACAAAGTGACTTAATTTGAGTCAAAATAAAGAAGCACTTTGTTGCAACTAAAACACATGCATGAGAAATTGGATTTGGAGCCTATGTTATCCGTTAAATAGAAAAACTCATTCCAGAAGGATGGTAATTCTTTGGCTTGTTGCATTTGAATTAAGATCTTAGAGGCTCTCTGTAAAATGACAGCACTGAAGAAGAGCTTTCTTCCCTGTACAGTGAAATAATTATACTCTGAGATGTAGGGATTTTCAGGAACCTGCATACAAATGCCATTTTATAAAGAATTGTGTCTTAGGTTTCAATTGATGGTTTCACAAAATGCCATTAAACATGGATGATCAGATTTGTCTTTCCCATCTTTTTGAGATCTAGCAATACTGAATTTCATCCTCATCTCAGCAGAGCAAAAGAATTTGTGTCATTCATTTCCTCTTGCATGCAGGATACAGACTGTACATATTCATTAGAAGACAGGTTTACAAATGGCCTCTTGTTAATTCACAGGGTTAACAACTCAAGCACAAGTGACATGCAGTTTGCATGCAAGCAGACGTGTTCAGCATTAGGAATGTGTTTCTCTGTGTAGTGTGATGATTATGTCATTATTCACTCCTGCACTTCAAAATAAAGATGCTAAAAGGGAAAAAGTAAGTGTGGCATTTGGGTGACAGCATTGGGAATCTAGTGACAGAGAGCTCCCCAAAATGCTAATCAGTGAAGATAACCACTTATCTACATCCTGTAGGATTTGCTATCATGGTGAAATGGTGTGTGTGTTCACTTCAAGTGATAGCGAGTAATACACACTTGAATGCTATAGAAACTACACAAGGGGAAAGGAGGCTTTAGGAGGCAACAGGCTGGATAAGGGTCAGTGATGAGCATACAGAAAAAGATAAAACAGTGGAGTCCAATTATGCTGCCACGGCCTGACTTGCTTTCTCTTTGATCTGATGGAACACTACCGTATTTTCCTTTTCAGAGACACTAATGAGAATGTATCCTGGGGAAATCTTGGAGCGTAAGGTGGACCAGGGTCCACAGTAGACATTTCTCTGCCTAGGAAATTTGTGAAAAATATATTTGAAGAACACAATCAAATGAAAAAGGAAATCCATTACAGCATGTGTTCAATTATAATTATCTATATTTGGTGGTAGAAGAAAGCCTCAAGGAGATTGCTGTATTTCCTTTCCTTAGCAAACTGGGTGCTCTGAATTACAGTGGTAATAAGAGCGTTCTCTTTAAGTAAAAAGCCATCCAAATTGGCATTCATAAGCTTTAGTTTAATGAATTGTAATAAGAACAATGGCTTCTATTTTCAGGTACTTCCAATGTAAGGCATTTTCATATATCTCATTTAATCTTCAGAACATTCTCACATGGAAAAAATTTATTACACTAATTTGATGGATTTGGAAACTGAGGTTCAAAAAAACGAAGTAATTTGTGTTTTTTTGATCAGTTGTAGGTCCGGGTGTTTCAGCATCTTAGATTGTTATTTATAATGGATATCATTGGGATTCTGACTTTCCTGCTGTGGGTGTAATACAGCAATGAAGGGAGCAGGAAAGCATTCAAGTCTCTATCATACAAAAAGTAAACCACCAGCGTCGACTCAGCTGAGGCTCACAGAGTGTCTGTGCCACTTAATGTAGACCACCTGACTTCCTTACTATGGTCTAGGTAATAGGTTTTTGAAATAGGGCTCTCACTCCTGATCAGCAGCCAACGTGAAGAAGGCTTGGTTTGGGGGCTGCAGGGTACCTGTTGGTGTGCGAGTTGTTGTGCATGAACCAGCTCCGGTTATTGTCCACATACATTGCCCAAGCTTTGTCGTCCTTTCCTAACATCACATCCTTCATCACGTCCATGCGAGCCACGCCAAAGGCAGGATCAGGGTGGTTGTCATAGCGATCTACCGTTAGCTCCCAGTAGTGGACTCCCTTGGAGAAGCCAGTCTTCCCTAGCACCACCCGGTCGTCATAGCTACTGCAGGTCACTGTCAGGTTGTCATTGGAGAGGATGATGTCTGAGTGCGCCGAGCCAGGATCGAAAGCAAACCAGGCCACTGGGAACAACAGAAGGGAATCAGGTTATTAAGACAGACCCAACAAGCTCAGCACCATAACATACTCCTGGGCGGGTGAGGAGCGTTGTGTAGCGTTTTCATGCTGCCATGCAGGAAGGAGGCGTCCAGGACCAAGGCAGACAGGGGCATGTCCTGGGAGTTGGTACTCTCTGCACCAGAAGCAGACGGAGGACACACGACCGATTCAGCAGGGGTTACCTGGCTCAGACTGCACTCCCAACCAGGTGATCCGGGAGTGAAGTGGCATCGATTTTGGAAGGTGCAAGTCCCTTCACCTGGTGACTGGCTGAACAGTGCACCAGAGACATAAAGGGAGAGGGGATGCGCTAAGATGCCTGTGTAACCCCTTAGGCGGGGAGGCTAGGAGCTAGAGTCCTAGATGGAGGAGGGATAAAACACATGGAGTGAAATCAGGAAATATCCCTTTGGCAGAAGTGCTAACATCTAGTCGCTTTGAAGTTTTCCTCAGCTCTAGTGAAAGCTCACAAGCTGCGAAGCTATAAGCAACATAAACGAATTTTCATGAGTGATTGTGACTTGGATGTTGGACAGGTTGCTGTCTGCATAACTTAAGAAAAACACAGTTTGCATGCTACTCCTGAAACTAACACGTCAGAAATTTTGCTGGAGCAGTAGGTATTTTGGACAGTAGGTGCAGATAGAATGATGTGTTTGTACACATTGTTACGCCCCAAGTTCTAAATGCCACCTATAAATATCACACTCAAAAGATGTAATTGCTGATTTATTGAACCTGTGAGACACCTCACATGCACTTTGGTCTTTGCTATTAGGTAAGAGAATAAGGTTATTCCATACCTGCCAAGAGCTTTTTAATGTCAACTGTTGTCATTCCAAGTGAAAGGCATGGGGGAGAGAGATAGGAAGCAAAATTGACATGGATAAGAAAACGTGTCTCTCTTTGATAGACTAGTCCCCAAAAGGACTCAATTTAAAATGCCACATATACTAAACAGGAGCTCTCTGACCTGTACCTTTACCCACATTTAGTGCTCATAAAGAGTGCTTTGCATTGATGTATAAGAAAACTGGGGGGAAAGTAAGCTTTAAGGCATAACACTGAAAACTACAGGCATCTTTTCCATTTTTTTAAGAGTTTGAGAAACTGCTATAATAGGGTTAGAATGACAATTAGACAATTTTATTGACATAAGACAAGCTGCTGCCATTTATTTTGTGAAAAAAATTGAGCACATCAATCACGTAAGTAAAAGATAACAATTACAATAAGTATACTTGCCTAATTGAGAGTAAGGTGCAGATTGTGTCTCAAAATTGCATCCTATAAAGAGATACTACACATCAACACTATGAAACAATCAGGTTGATAAAAATTACTTGTATATACACTTAAAAAGCACCAGCTGAATACTGATACCAGAGGCCTGATCCATGAAAAAACAAAGCCCTTTTTATATTAGTTTACTTTGCTGGGTGAAAAACTGCCTTTCTGCTCTTTGAAAATGAAAAGTACGTCCTTTTACCATTAATAAATCATCTCCCAATTGATCCTAAACTCTGTAGCTGAATTTTTCATCTTCCGAGCTCAATCTTTTCCTCTAAAGTTTCTACAGAAAGAAGGCGAGCTCCTGTAAAAATGAGGAAAATGTACTTAATTGAAATGGAGAAGTCACTGGATTTTGATAAAACTCTGCTCTATCTCACTATTCTATGCACTTCGGAGTCTGGTTTTGCCAAAAGGTCTTCATTGTGACTTGAGCCCAAATTAAATAATACATCTCTAACTAAATGTGTAATGTAATGCATCTGATAATTATTAATAATAACATGGCGAATGTGTTAAAATCGCCTCCTCTCCTTCTTAGGAGAGATCCTCCTCACCTGAGGGAGGAGGAGGGCTGGTAGGAGTGGGTGTGGTCTCAGAGATATACTGGAATCGCCTGTGAAACTTTTTCAACTGTTTGCATTCCCTAAGATTTGGATACCTATACCTCATGAGAAACTACACTGGAGTGGAGGAAGACTGTCTAGTCTTAAAATGTTCAAAGGTGCGTGACCTACAATTTCCAGTGGTGTCAGGGACTGATCTAGAAAATGTGGGTTTGATGAGCACTGGGGGATAAAGAAAGGATCATTTAATTTGTTTTCTATTTAGTAAGGCCTTTATATGCTAATTCCTAAAACATTTGGAGGATAATGTGCGGACTTAAAAGATTTCACAAGAATTAAAGCAATTTACTATAAACAAGGACTAATGACTGAGTTAAAAACAAAATATAAAAATTATGATCTTACTTTTGGTTAGTTTGTTTTACGCTGGGATGAATTCGCATGCAAAAGAATCATTTTCTCCCAGTTCATGGCTGATTTTTATGTTTAGTTTCTATCAATTATCACTTTAATTCCTATTCATGTGTTAGAGCATAGTGAGTATGGGACACCCAGAGTTTTAAAACTGACTCTCATATTCAGCTTTGGAAATAAGTTTGTAGAATCTGAACAGGGCTTTAAAGACTTTTCAATGAATCATGCCTTGTGCAACTCTTTTGCAAAACAAATATTCTGAAATCTTTTTACACTACTTCAAATACATCATCATACATTTAAGATTCAACAATACAACTAGAGTAATGCTCTTAAGTACACCCATCAAATATCCCAAAACTCACATTTCATTTTTATTCTTGAGACAATATACATTACAAAGACTGTAACAATATTTCAGTACATTAGACACAAGGGAAAAGAGTTTCATAACAAAGCATGTTGGGAAGCCATAGTGCACAGAAAAACAATAAGAAACATAAAAGCACAAAGAAAAATGTCATTTTAAAGAGAGCTTGAAGTCCCTGCATCCTTTTTGCACTGTCATGCTGTGGCCTTCTTCATTCCAGAATGTGGGATGAGCAAAAAGAACAAAATAAAAAGCAAAAGAAACCTTTGGAAATGTGAAATGTGCATCATGTGTATCCACGATTACAATATAGTCCTGAAGAGATCAAATAGGTCTGCATCTTAGATATTTTAAGATTCTATTTGCTAGGCAGTGTTCACTACAAAGGAACACAAGTCTAGCTTCGCTGAAATCAGCTGTAGGCTCTGTCACAACCGGCTTGGCTGTGGGAAACTTTGAGGAGGGCAGACTTTGATTACTCAGATCTTTGGTCACTAGGCATTAGCAGCTGAAGGTTTCGAATTCAGCTAGCAGTGGTCCCACCCCGTTGCTAGGAGAACACTCAGCCATGAGCCCCACTGGCCTAGCAGTGAGAACAGGCTTTTGCAGAAAACGCTTTCACTTTCTGCTTTCTGGATCGCCCGCTTTGTAGAATGCTTTCTGCTATTGGTGTGTTTTTACTTTTATTTTACTTTGTCAATAAAATGTTGGTGTGTTTTTACTTTTGTTTTACTTTGTCAATAAAGATCTCTTGAGTCTATGTTTAATCAGACCACTCCAGGCTGGATGCACTGATCCAGTCTCCCAGACACAGCTGGTTTCCTGGATACAGAAGGGCTGCAAACCTCCACATTGCTGCCACGGCCTCCACTCAGCCAGAGCCTGTGCCGTGCTGTGCCACTGCATGTGATGACAGAGCGGGTTATCCATGGTGGTCCAGCTTGTGCAAAAAGAATAACTTCACTCATCACTTTCTGATGCTGTTATACAAAGACCATAGCTCCATGGTTGCTCCTTACACCACACAAACAAGAACACCACAAAGCTCCACCATCCAGATGCTCCTCATACCGGAAGCAGGCCACAGACACAGAGACTAGCTTGTCCCCATCACCACGCACATGAATGGCAAGAACAAAACACGGTTTCAGAGATGCCTTCAAGGCACAGAGATCAAGGGGAAAGGTCTGAGGAGCTCAGCTCACCCGGTGCATTGAGAGACTGTAAAGAGGAATGCAAGCTCAGCTGGTGGGGTGAGGATCGGAAATCAAAGTAGGATCTCCCGGGGAAGCTGGGTTGTAGATTAAGGGTGGAGGAGAAAGGACTCATTCTACGGAGCGGCAATCTTTCCGAAGGCACTGGAAAAGGGAGGGTCTGTTCTTCTGAATCTGTGTCTAAATGTAAGATCAATGCAAACTAGAGATCAGAAATCTGCTATCTCCCCGTGCACAGTTCCCCAAGACCTGCCTTAACGATGCATTCATACAAAGCATCATCTTTCCCACAGGGTGCCACACTCAGGCATTTACAAAACCAATGTGCCTGGGGGTGGGGAGGGAATTTTCGGCAGATCGGGACCCAAGACCAGAGGACAGCTCCAACATCATAGGTAACTGTTTTCATTCCCTCCCACCCAGCTCCCCCCAATTTTCAGTGGTAGAAAATTGGAAGGTTTCCTAAAATAGGAAATCTTTTAATTAAAAGGTTTTCTTTTACCCCTTCAGTTGTCCTTGGAGTTACTACCTATTCAACAATTCAGCCTCTTAAACGGTTTCTATTTAGGAGTTGGTGACTTTTAACAAACTGTTTCCTGTTCCATATTTTCCCCTAACATATATTTTTCTATTAGGTGGATGAGATGATTTCCTACGCTAGCACACTCCAGACTCTATCTTTGATTAGGAGAGGAAATGTGGGGTGGGCTAAGGAAGACAGAGCTGGACAAGGAAACAGGGAAGGAGCCTTACCTTTGTTTCTGAATTATGATCAGACTCTAGGGATGTCACTTGACCATCTTTGGTTCTCTAATGATAAACAGACTGTGGGCATTGGTGAGGTGCATTTGTGGCAAAATGCCTGTTTCTGTTCAGATAGTCAGGTTTGGCATGAAGATCATTATTATATCAGAGCAAAGACTTAACCATTGTTTGATCTGGTATTAGAAGAGCATTAGTCAGTTTCTCTAAATTACTAAAATTGCTCCTTTCTATTTTGTGAAACGCTAGCAGGTTCTATGCATGGTGTGGTCTAGTCAGAAGTGGATCTTTCACCAATTGAAACCTTCTTCACATTCAGTCTAACAGCAATAATTTAGGAAATACAGATGGTAGGAAGGTAATATTCCATGTCCAAAATCACAAAGAAACTTTCTTCTCATTGAAAAAATAATTTTGTTTTTATGACCAGAGGGTATTTCTGTGAATGCTTTTCTGGTTTGAATCAGTTAGCAGCAATTCTTTGCTGGACATAATGCTTTTCCTATCAAAATGCTACTCTGCATGTTTAAGCAATGCGTGTGTATAGAACATGACCCTGTGTGAAGAGCTCAGGACAAGGGCACTGGCAAGTTTGAATTTAATACCTCCAAGAGTCAGCCTCTGAACTTACAATATTAAAGTTAGCTTTTTAGGCTTTAGACTTATCTGTGGGGGGATGACTTTTAAAAAATAAAAGTATAAATCGGATCTCAGAGAAAAGGAATTGCTATTTATGGAGTTAAGACTTTGTGTTCCCACTAACAATACATTTAAGTTTTCTTTTATCTTTTCTTCGTATGGTTTGAATGACTTAATATCATGTATTATCATTTCTTTCTTCAGATATGATAAATCAAAAATTATTTGTTACAATCATCTTAAGGGGAAATTACCAGAGCACCACAAACTGACATGAGTTTCTTTTAAGGAGAGAAGGCATTTACAACCATATTTATGTCAGTAAAAGATCTTATTTATTTATTATGTATTATTTATTATTTTTTGAGACAGAGTCTCACTCTGTTGCCCAGGCTGGTATACAATGGCATAATCTCAGCTCACTGCAAACTCTGCTTCCTGGATCAAGTGATTCTTCAGTCTCAGCCTCCAGAGTAGCTGGGAATACAGGCGTGAGCCATCATGCCCAGCGAATTTTTCTAATTTTTGTAGAAATGGGGTTTTGCCATGTTGTCCAGGCTGGTCTTGAACTCCTGAGCTCAAAGCGATCTGCCTGCCTTGACCTCCCAAAGTGCTGAGATTACAGGCGTGAGCCATCGCACCTGGCCTAAAAGCTTTTTTAATTAACAAGAATTTGCCTGGAAATGTATTTTTCACTAGGTTTGACAATCATTCATTATATTGAAAATATTTGTTGCTTTAAAATTTAATGAAAAGGACATATATAATAAGATGAATTTCAGAATGTACTGAATTCCCAAGTAGTTATCTGAAAACCAGTGAAGAGATATGTACTTAACGCAGACCTTGGGGAGCGTATCCAATCCCATCGTAAATTGTACTCACCTTTTCTGTTTTCAGCACCAAGAACTTAGAGTAGGTGATGGGGACTGAGGGTAGCTATGGTTATTCATGGGATTAGTAACTTGACACTAAGATGTATCCTTCCTATCCTTCCATGTGGATCCACTGTTTACTGATGACCCAATTTTCCTTGACTCCTCTCACTCTTGAACTTAGGTAAGTTTATTTAACATCCATATTGCATAACCATTTCATTTTTGTTTTTGAGTTTTTTCCCCATCTATGACCTCCCATTCCCTACCAGATGGGCTTTTACCATATTTTCCCTAAGTAGCTCTTAACAACAACAACAAGAAAAAAATCCTACCTGCAATGAGAACTTTACAAATGAATTACAAGAGCGAAACACTTGCTAACTGATCCCATCTTGACTAAACAAGCAATTCTCCCTTTATACCCTTCCCCATAGGCGTGTAGTGCACATGCTTGGTCAGTTGCCTCTAAGTCATCTATGCCACGTCACATTATACCTTGGATTTCAGGAGTCTTAGAAGGAAGACACTTAATATCATCAGAGGAGCTGCCAACAAGCTTCCCCTTGAAGTCCCCTGGGATGAGGAAACTCATTGCTTCCAGCCAGCTCCCTCTAGTTGGCAGTTATTTCTTATATTGGTCTAGACATACCTCTTTGGGGGCTCCACTCTCCAACTGTAGCGTTACTATCTGGGGCCACATGGAACAGATCACTAGTTCTTCAAGTATTTGAGGCCAGTCACCAATCCTCTTTAAATCTTCCCTTTTCTGGGCTAAATAGAGTCAATGTCCAACCATTTCACTATGTATGGGTTTCAAATCCTTTACTCTCCTGGTCATGCCCTCTGGACATGTTCAAAGGCATGAATCAAAGACAATATGACAACATTGAGAAGAGTATTGCCACTCCCTGGTTTAGCCAAATGACACTTAACTCACATTGAATGTGCACACACCTACTTAAGTGTGTGTATCCTGCGTTATGCCCATGGGATGCAGGAAGAATGCACACACCACTTCCTCATCTCTCCTTCAAAATGCAACTATCATAATACAGAGAAGACTTCTCAGCCATTCATATTCTATTAGTAAAGGCAAACAGGAATGAGGTTGTCATTTTTTTCACAATGCATGATACAAAGCTAGGTTTCAGGTCACAGCTAATATGCAGGATAATTATTATTAATTTTTAATATTATAGATCACTAGAGAAAGGTAAGGAGCTCCTGAAGAGACTTTTAACATTACATCATGTTTCATCACATGCAGTGAATCCTGTGTGGTTTCAGGCTTTGCTGAGTGAAAGCATTGTAGCAGGAAAAAGCAATGGAAAACAGTAGGTCAGTGGCTGAATGTGGTGACTCTAGGCATAACTATAACTCTAGGATGGGACTGTGTTCAGAACAAATATGTGTCAAGATATGCTTTCCATCAACTCTGTCAATGACCATCATTTTCCTCTTGCTCTTTCTTGGACTTCTTTCCCTTTCCAGGGTTAGATTGGCTGGAGTTAGAATCTAGATAAGGACAGAGACCTTTGCTTAAAAAAAGCAATCATGAATCAATGAAGCAAAGATTGGCTGGGGACTACTTGTAATATTGAGAATATCTAGGTGGTATCCTCCTGTTTGGCCACCATATACTTCTTTTACTTCTTTATTTCTTTTTTAGAGACAGGGTCTCACTTGGTCACCCAGGCTAGAGTGTAGTGGTGTTGATCATAGCTCACTGCAGCCTTGAACTCCTGGGATCAAGGGATTTTCCTCCCTTAGCTTCCTGAGTAGCTGGAACTATAGGGGCATGCCACTGCACCTGGCCAATTTTAAAATTTTTTATAAAGACAGAGTCTTTTTATGTTGCCCAGGCTGGTCTCAAACAACAGGCCTCAAGCAGTCCTTCCACTTCAGCCTTCCTAAAGTGTTGAGATTACAGGCATGAGCCATGGCACCCAGCCCATATATTTATTTTATTTGTTAGTAGCTAACACTATTGAACACTTATCATGTGACAGACCTTGTAGTAGAATTGAGCAGTTGGGAGACATAAAGTTGGCAGGAGACTCAATCATAAAAAAATAATAATTTAGAGAAAATCGGTGTCATATATTACTGATTGGTTTTTGGACTTCTGGGGGTAGAATTTCTTGACTAACTCCAAGTACAGAATACTAAAGGTTTTTGCAGATGTTGTAGAATTTGAAAAGGTAGTCTTGGGGTATTATTTTTGGAATCTAAAGAGGGAAAGCAAACAGACTGTGGTTGTTTATGACAGCGTATACTAATCCAGCATCCTCTGTGTCCTGGTAGAAGTCTGGGTTGTCCTCCTGTCTGGTATTGAACAACTTCATACCTTAAGCAGCCCTTGAGCCCAGGTCCAATAAGATGGTTGTATTTTGGAGCACGGTAAGGCAAGACATGTCACTAAGAATTGCACAGTGTTAGGATGAGTTTCAACTCAATTATAATCCAGCTGTAAAATAATTTGCTTTTGTTGGGAAGACTTTAAAAGAGACAAATGAAGGAAGAATGAGGCTGTTTTTGTATATGGTCTTATAAGCAGCCAAAGTCACAATTATGTCCAACTGGTACATAATTTATAATAAAAGGTGGTATTTTAAGCTTTCTTAAGTGTGGTATTAATTTTAATTGAGAAGTGAGAAACAAATATGTTTTGAAAACCTTCTTTTAGAGAATGAAAGAGCCTTTGACACCACAATGACAGCTGCATACTTCATCACCAAGTTCTCCACTCCAATTTAGAATATGATGGTATTATTTGTAAGGAGCTATCATCAGAAGAACTGAACAATTTTATATTTCAATTAGATACAGAGGATTCCAAAGGACTAAACTACTTTCCAGAGTGTCAGTTGCAAAAACAGGGTTCTGAACCAAAAACAGGGT